GCTAAAGTGATGGATTCAGGATTTGCTTTCAGGTATTTTGATAGCTGTTGGAGTGTTTAGAATCAGTGTCTGTGCCCTCACAATGGCTTCTAGATAGGGGAAGAAAACAAGAAATTTCTCCATTTTAGAAAAATAGCTGGTTGTCTCCCTTAGCTACAGGAGGGCACTACACTATTGGAGACCAAGATTTGAAGTCTTACATCTGAGCAGCACTTTCTAGTTAGGAACAAAATCATCAATAAGAAATAATTGTCTAAATAACTTTTTATATAGACTCAAGCCTAATATCTGGGAAGTGTAATCCCTTGAACTCTTAAAGAAATATCCTGATGACTTTACTCTTTAGTCATACTTTCCTTTGGGGTGTTTAAGACCAGACAGTTGGCCCAAATAAATCAGTTTTGGGGTTTTTTTTTGGTCTTTTTGAGACAAGGTTTCTCTGTAGCCCCAGCTGTCCTGGACTCACTATGTAGACCAGGCTGGCCTTGAATTTACAGAGATCTGCCTACCTCTGCCTCCCAAATGCTGGGATTAAAGGCGTGCGCCACCATGCCCAGCTAAATCAGTTTATCTTTACATTCAAGGTCATTTGAGGATCTGTTCCTCAGGGGTCACATGGGCTTGGGAGGAGCTCCTGGTTCCTTTCTTTTACCAGTTCCATCTATGTGAAGATAAGTCAAAGGTCCTGCTTGACCATGTCTGGCTTCACTTGGAAGCATGAATGAGATATTTCCTTTGAGTTGACCTTTATCTTTGTAGACTGGACACTGGTTCACGTCCATCTGGTGGGGTCTCCATGTCCTCTCTGAACAAGAGCACAGGTGACTCTACCACAGCTATACAGGACATTTTGAGAGATGTTCCATAGTCCCCTGGAATTTAGTCAACCTTGGAGGGCAAGGGGCAAAAACTATCCTTTAAGTCCCTCTGACCACGTTAGTACAGGCCTCAAAGTATGGCTGTTAAACATCCAAGAAGGTTAGTCCCATCAGTCTGGTACTTTTAATTATCGTGTGCTATGTAGATAAGGCTTGGGTAAAAAAACAAATATTTGGGGGCTGGAGAGATGGCTCAGTGGTTAAGAACACTAGCTGTTCTTGTAGAGGACCCGGGTTCAAATCCCAGCACCCACATGGCAGTTAACAACTATCTGTAACTCCAGTCCCAGGGGATCTGACAGCCTCTTCTGACCTTCGTGGGCATTGCACAACACAGGTGCACTTACCTACATGCAGGCAATACACGCATGCACATAAAATAAAAATAATAACTAAAATAAAAAAACCCAAATATTCTCATATAAACCTTGACTAGATATATATTTTGTTCCTTAAACTAGTTGACTAAACTATGACCATAGACATTTTAAGATTATGTGTATATTATTTTTGTCTCATCCTTTATATATCATAACAAACCTAAATAGACCTTCATCACTTGCTTAGGCATTC